ACTAGTCGAACTTTTTCTGGGAGGGGCCCACAGATTTGGAACGAGCTTTACGAGAGTTTGAAAGAGTTGAAATTCATCTCCACCTTCAAAAAACAGTTAAAGACCAAATCGCTCCATTTGTATACTTGAGATCACTTGTAGGACCTGTGATTGATCAGAGGTAACATAATCTGTATTGTATGTGGAATTTGTATGAGGACAGATGTTTAATTGTGATGTTATTTTAATGTTATAATTTGTATGTAATATGTTCCCAGGCTCCGTCTATATGCTTTAAATAGCTTTTTGGAGACCTGATTAACGCACTGTTATCTTGCAGATGTGTATTATGATTCTTTTGTGTGTGTAAATAAATTGATGTTTAAGCTCTCCATTAACCCGGATCCTACATGTCCTTGCCGACTGTTGTCAGGTCCACGAGTCAGCAAACTCAGACAGAAACAGCAGAATCACCAACAAGGTGCCCGCAGGCACCTGGTCGCCCGCAGGGACCACATGAGTCGCCCACGGTGCATGTTCAAAAACTAGCACTCATCTTCAAGGTGCACCACCTAAAAACAGTCATTAATTGTTTTTAAATTTATGGGGGGAAAAAAATGAGCAAAAATGTATTTTTGAGATTAAAATAATTAAAAATAACTTTTAAAAATAATAGTGGTGAAAGTTCAGAATCATGCTTTGACCACGCCCATCTCTTCAGCGGTGCAGCTACAAGAGATTTTTACCTCCAAGACGGGAAAATGGCAGAAAAACATCCATCCATTATCTTTACCAGCTTATTGCATTTTGGGTCACGGGGGTCGCCGGTGCCCATGTCCAGCAATCACTGTGCGAGGGGCGGGGGACACCCTGGACGGGTCGCAAGTCCATCACAGGGCCACATAGAGACAAACGACACAAACAACCATTCACTCTCTCACTCTCACCTAGGGACAATTTAGAGTTACCAATCAGCCTAACATGCATGTTTTTGGTCTGTGGGAGGAAACCGGAGCACCCGGAGAAAACCCACGCATGCACGGAGAGAACATGCAAACTCCATCCAGAAAGGCCCCTGGACCGGGGTTTGAACCAAGGACCTGCTCGCTGAGAGGCAGCAGCTCTACCAGTTGCACCACCGTGCTGCGCAGAAAAACATAAGCAAACATATTTTCACAGTGACTGGAAGGAAGAGTTTTTTTATTTCACAGTGTGAAAGTGTGTCTCGTTAGTGGACTGTGGCGACAGCAACACTTCATCACCAGCTAACAGATTAGCATCAATGCTAACCACCCCCCATCAACGAGCAGAAGAATGTCAGAGCTGAAGGCAGCTTTGAGCAAACGCCACGTTTTTCATGAGGTGTTTCCAGATGTGGCGCTCTTAATAGAAGCAACGATGAAATATGTGAAAAATAATTTCTTTAAAAAGAGTTAACGATGCGATTGATAAGTTAAAACGTTGCAGATCTGAGGCTCATGATTAAAAATGTCAGCTTGTTTGTTTACATTACTGATAGTTTGTATCTAAGAGTTCTTCTGAAGACTTACAAACAACAGTTAGTGCAAACAGGGCTTGACTGGATTTACTTTTAATATTATTAAAAATGCTACACAAGTTAATAGGAAAAAAATATTCTGAATGAATGTTACAAATGTGTTCATTTCTACAAAACTGTTAATAAAGTATTTATAAAATACACTGAATTTCAAATGTTACTGATTTGAGATTAACACCAAAGGAAATAGTATTTTATGTTTAAATATCAGTTTTCTAATATAGTAAGTCATCCATCATGTCCCCCTTGTTGGGGGCTGGAGCCCAGCTCAGCTGCTTTTAGGTGAAGGCTGGGGACACCCTGGACAGGTCTCAGTCCATCACAGAGACAGAGACAACCACCCACATTCCCAGTCACAGCTAAGGACAATTTACAGTCACACAGAAGAACCAAAAAGAGATTTAATAATAATTGATCATATCTGCCATGCTAAGTCCTTATTGATAATAATTGAGGGGAGTCTTTAACATTAAGATATGATCAGGCAGTCATATATTCACATGTATGTAAATGTATTATTAATACTATAATTAAAAAGTGAGTCGTGAAAATATGATGGGATCAAACAAGACGCCCTTCATGTCACTCAGTCCCAATGAAGTGGCTCTCAGTCTCACAAAGAATGGTCTTAATGCCTGATGAACACAAGTTATCATTTGTAAAACCTTACTCTGGACTCTATATCCCAGAATACAGTGCGCTTGCTACTTTATGCTAAATGTACAGTTATGATTATAAAAGCTCAACACAACAAATATTAAACAAGACTTACATTATAATAATAGAGTGTTTTATTTTCCACATACATAATAACCACTCTGATCATACTCCACCCCTCAATGCTCCGTGAAGAAGCTTTGAACGGTCATCAAAGACATAGATCAAATGATGTAAATTTCAATCTATATCCGCTTTGCGCTCAGGTTAGAGTACCATTACCTCTTCATCGTGGTTAGCGAGACCAGACACTTTAGAAACACATTTCTCAAGTTATGAACTACAGAAATGATCCCTGAAAGTATAGTCTTATTGTGACTTTGCTTTTCATCACCTACTAGTATGAGAGCAAGTGCTCTCTCGATCGTGGTGCAGTCATCATACGTAGAGCGAAGTGAAATAAAACATGTATATATATTTTTTAATTCAAGGATTAGGCTAAAAATAATAAAAGATGTGTAATTTTTGTGTCTACACATTTTTTTCCCCACAAAACGTATTCTTACATGAGTTTTTTTTTTTTATATATATATTAGAAGGTGCATCGAAACTTTCAGTGAATAAAATAAAAGAATCTTAACACTCATAATCCAAACACAACCTGCACCTGACAGTTTATGTAGACTTTAAACTTGTATCTTTGACTATAAAATAGTTTATAATGTGTTTTGTTTGTAATACCCATAATGCTTTTCGGTTGCATGCCTCTCTTCGTCTCTTATTGGTTGTTAGCGAATTAGCCTCTTTTGCTAACAACGATAAAAAAAAAAATTGGTCGTTTATAACCAAGGTGACAAAACTCGAAACATGTCTTTTTACTCAGTGTGATTTAAGCAAGCTATAAACAGACCTGAATATACAAATAGGCCACAAAATAAACGGGCAGAAATTTTTTAATTAAAAAAACCTAACCAGAAAAGTTTAGGTGTACCAATGTTCGTCTTCCTACTCAAAAGAACAACAACAATAAATAGTTCCTATCTGAGCAGAGCATAGCATTATTTCCACTTTAAGAAATACATGAAACTATGACGAAATGTCTTTCAGGGCACAACGACTGAATGTTTGTTTATTTTTTTTATTTTTTCTGTTTTTTAGTTAAAATTGGATTTGTTACATTTGCATGAGTCCTCTTGTTAATGCGCTCATACAGCGCCCTCTGCTGGTGTATCGGCGGAATTAAAACACGCAGCTGAAATAAAGTTTCTCCAGTTCAGCGACTCTCGATTCTTTACAAAAAATTTAAAAATAAAAACTTAACCACCACAACAACACAAACAAGTAAATAAGTGAATTAAATTGTTAATCAAATATTCTACTTTTGTATTGACGCCCGCATTCATTTTATGAAGACGTCATTTGTAAGCGACATCTTTTAAGGCATGCTACCTCCTCTACTGTTACACATATTTTAAGCTTTATTGTATGACACAGCATATTTTAAAGTATAGCAGCTGTTTATCAGGACATAGAATATTCATAGAATATTAAATACTGGATTTAGCTGCAGCTGACTGATATGAAATGTGTGAAACACAACCGAGCAGTGCTTCAGAGCTGCTGGACCTTCTTCACAAATTCATTGCTCTTGTTTACATAATAAATGTAATTATTATAAATTGAAATAATATAGTTTGTTTTTAGGCTAAATATGATCAGCAGCAAGAAAAGTACTTGTTTGCTTTCATGTTATAACAATATTATAAATGATTTACACTGAACCTGTTTTATTGTCCTCATAAGTATGTATGTATGTATGTATGTTTTATTTATTCATTTCATCCAAACAACAAATATAATACAATTTAAAGAAAAGAAAAAATATATACAATCACAGAAATAAAATGAAAGGCAGCAGAAGAAGAATGAGTTCTTATAAAATCTGCCCCTTGTCCCCAAAATATATTCCAAACAAAATTACTATACAAAAGCAAGATGAATTAATAAAAAAATAAAAAAAATAAAAAAAAACTTAGCTAAAATATAAGATCAACTGTAAACAATTTTTATGAACTCACATTATACTTAATATTTTTTTTAAACAAATTTTTATCATCTTCTTGAATATGTACATAGTATTGGCATTTTTAATATCAACCTCCAGATCATTCCACAATCTAATACCCTGAGATCTAGTGGATCGCATCTTCAGACTGGTGCGACACCACGGCTTCACAAACATCTCCATCCCCTTAAGATAATAATTACTTTCTCTTTTAACAAATTTCCCTTGAATGTTAGTAGGTAGTATGTTTTTGTTGGCCCCATACATAAACAGTAAGATATTGTAATCAACCAAGTCATAAAATTTTAATATCTTTAGCTGATGAAACAATATATTTGACGGATGGTTATAATCTTTTCTGGTAATAATTCTTATGGCTCTTTTCTGTAAAATAAAAATTGGATTTGTAATTGTTTTACATGCTTTACCCCAGACTTCAATACAGTAAATTAAATGTGGAACAATAATGGCATTATACAATAGAAACATTGCTTTATCATTGAATAACTCTCTAACTTTGTACATTACTGCAATCGATTTAGTTATTTTAGTTCTTAAGTTTTTTACGTGAGATCTCCATGTTAGTTTTTCATCAATGATGACACCCAGAAATTTCACCTCATTGACTCTATTAATTTCAATTCCATCGACTCTAAATGGAGTATCAAGCACTTTCTTGTTATTACTAAAAATCATATAATTTGTTTTATCAACATTTAAAGATAATTTGTTTAGTTGAAACCAATTTTGTATTTTCACAAATTCTGTTTGTGCCATCTTCAGCATTTGCACAACATTTTCACCCACAAGAAAAGTAGTATCATCTGCAAACAAAATACATTTAAAAAAATCCAGTCACATTTACCAGGTCATTCACATATAAAATAAATAGCTTAGGTCCAAGTATAGAGCCTTGAGGCACTCCACATGTAATATTACAGAATTCAGATTTTACATCATTTATTTGAACAAATTGTTTCCTTTTTTCTAGATAACTAGATACCCACTGCAATGCATGCCCCTCTAATACCATATTTATTTAGTTTTTTGAGAAGAATATTGTGATCAATAGTATCAAATGCTTTCTTTAGATCAACATAAATACTAATACAATATTTTTTTTGATCCACAGCAGTCGTTATCTGTTCCTTTAAATCCATGAGTGCCATTGATGTAGAATTTTTAGGTCTAAACCCATATTGACTATTACTTAATATATTTTGCTTATTGATAAATTCATCTAATCTAGTGACAAATAATTTCTCTAAAATCTTCGAAAACTGTGGCAATAACGATATTGGCCTGTAATTATTAAACACACGCTTCTCTCCACTCTTATATAATGGTATTACCTTGGCTATTTTCATGTTATTTGGAAATACTCCTGTTGAAAATGATAAATTGCATATATATGTAAATGGCTCAATAACATAACTCATAATATTCTTTACCAGCATCATATCCATGTCCATCCAGTCTTTTGATTTTTTATCTGCAAGATGTTTTACGATAGTCATAATTTCTTCTTTATCAGTTCCCTCAAGAAAAAAAAACTGTTTGTGTAATCCGTAACCGTATGGTTTACATTTTCATCTATATTTGGGATTTTTGCTGCCAGACTTGGGCCAATATTCACAAAATGTTCATTGAATCCATTTGCAATTTCATTTTGGTCATAAATTTCTTTGTCATCCTTTACAAAATATTGTGGAATGCTCGATTTTGTTTTATGATTATTCAGAACACTGTTCGTTATTTGCCATGTTGCTCTCATATTACCATTACTTTGGTCTAATAATTCACTGTAATTTTTTTTTTATGCTTTCTTATAATCCCTACCAATTTATTTTTATAATTTTTATATCTCTGTTCTGCTTTGTTTGTTCTTCATTTCAGAAAGTTCGAGTATAAGTAGTTCTTTTTTTTACAAGCATTTCTTAACCCTTTGGTCATCCACGGTTTGTCATCAACACGTTTCTTTGTGTAATTTTCTTGTACACAATTTTTTTCATATAAAGCTCCTAAAATATTCATAAATACATCATATGCTTTGTTTACATCATCAACATATACATCCTTCCAATTTTGTTTTGTTAAATCTTCTTTTAGTTTATCTAGAGCTTTCTTTGATGTGGTTATTATTTTTTTCATAATTTTATCTACTTTCATATCATATTGATCTTTTTTATAGATAGTGAAGACTGGTAGGTGGTCACTGACATCCGTGATCAAAATGCCACCCATAAGTTCTTTATTTGTTATATTTGTAAAAATGTTGTCAATTATTGAAGCACTATGGGTAGTAATTCTTGTGGGTTTTGAAATCAATGGATAAAGATTTAAACTGTGCATT